CCCCAAGATTCTTTCTTCCTGTCTACAGCTTTCACCGGTGGGTGCCTCCACACCATCTTTCACCAAAATGTCTTCCTCCTGGCTTCCGCTCTCGCTCTCTGTCATTTCCCACTTACCTGAGCCTTAGCATATAAAACCCGCTCTCTTCATCATGGCCTGCTGCAAGATTCGGCTGCTGGTGACTTCCCTGACCCCCCTCCTACCAGGCTCCCCTCCCTCACTCCCATCTAGCCACACTGGCCTCCAACACTTCACACTTGTTCCTACCCCAGGGACTTTGCATTTGTTGTTCCCTCTGCCTGGGGCATTCCCCCCCTCCCCGCCCCCCTACCCCTTACCCCCAGATCATCTCCTGCCTGGCCCATTTTCAGCTCAAGCATCACATTGGAAAGAGAGGGGTCTTTGCTGACTCCCACCCCACAGTCAAAAGTGCAAATTCCTGTCCCAGTGGGGACTTGGTCTGGTTTTTTTTCACTGCACGATCAACAATACCTAATACTATGCCAGGCACATGGCTGACATGTGATAAAAATTAACTGTGTGAATACGTGAGTGGCGGATGGTAGGGAGACAGGACTAGAGGGGGAGGGGGAGAAGGGAGGGAGTCCTGTGGGGAGGGGACCCAGGCTGGAAATGAAGGAGATTGTCAGTGGAGTAGGGGTGGGGCAAACCTGTCCTGTCCTGTTCTTCAGGTATGGCTTCTCTGACTTCCAGTCCTGAATCACTGTCTGGACCACTTTCTCTTCTCCCTGCAAGGAGAGGAACCCAGTCACCACTTACCCAGGCCACCTCTACCTGAGGCAGTGCCCTGTGCTGGGAGTGCTGGTGCTGCCCCTGGAACCTCTTTTCCCTGCACCCTCACCTGGAGCAGGTCCCTCAGCTGTAGTTGCAGCACCCTGTTATCCTCATGTAGCTGGTTCATGGTTTCCTGATTCTTCTTGATGTTCCACTGGGTGCTCTCATAAAAGGCCTTCCGATCACTCTCTGGGGTCAAGTGATGTGGGCAGGTACAAGCAGAGCATCATGGGGGTGGGAAAGGCTTCCCAGAGGGATAGCCTTTTTGTAGTCATCAATTTAATGTTATAATAATACTTTGCTTGGAGCATTTATTATGTGTTGGATGCTGAACTAAGAACTTTCCAGGTATAAAATACAGTATGCCAATAGGTGCATATCCACATCATACCCATTTTATAGATGAGAAGACTGAGGCTCAGGCTTATTAGATTGTTCAAGGTCACAAACAGTCTGACTCTTGACCTTCAACCACTCTGCAAGATTTCCCCTATTAATAATAAAACAATAATGGTTTACACCAGGATTTCCCAACCTCAGCATGACTGATACTTGGGATGTACAGTTATTTACTGTGGTTAGTTGCCCTGTGCATTTTGGGATGTTGAGCAGCATTCCCGACCTCCACCCTCTAGATACCAGCAGCACCCTCCCACCCCTAATAACGTGACAACTAGAAATGTCTTTAGCTCTGGCCAGTTAGCTTAGTTGGTTAGAGCATTGGCCTAATACACCGCGATTGTGGGTTCGATCCTCGGTCAGGGCACATCCAAGAATCAACCAACAAATGTATAAATAAGTGGAACAACAAATCGATATGATATCTCTCTCTCTCTAAATAATTAATTAATTAATTATAAAAGCCTCCAGACTTTGCCAAATGTCCCCTGGGGAGCAAAATGGACCTCTTCCATTGAGAACCACTGGTTTGCAACTTATAGTGTGTTACTATGTGCCACTGCTCTAAGCACTTAACACATTTCAGCGACCTATGGTGTTGTACTGTCATCCCCATTTTACAGATGGAGAAACTGAGAGCAATTAGGTTACTCTTAGTGCCCAAGATCAAACCATTAGTATATGCAGAGCCAGGGTTTGAGCCCAGAATGTCTGTCCCTAGAATCTATGTTTTTCACCACTCCACACATGATAGAGAGTTGAAATTACACAAAAGTATGAAATACAATCCAGTTGACTTCTGAGTCCAGGAAAAGCTTTTGCTTTTGTTAATCTTCACCAAAGGAAATTTTTTCCATTGATTTTTAGAGAGTGGAAAGGAGGGGGAGAGGCCGACAAAGAGAGAAACATGTGAGAGAGACACATCGATTGGTTGCCTCCCCCAAATGCCCCGACCCAGGCTGGGGATCCAGCCTGCAACTGAGGTACATGCTCTTGACCTGAATCAAACCCCGGACCCATCAGTCGGAGGGCGGATGCTCTATCCACTGAGCCAACCAGCCAGGGCCAGGAAGTTTTATGAGTTTTTACCGCCAGCACTGATCACCTGGATGAATGTTGTGAAGCACCCTGGCCACACCATGCCTGGTCAGAGGGCTGGGTGGACACTGCTGACTAGGAGCCATTTGATGCCCTTTGGAGCCCTCTTACCTAATACTTGTATCTTCTTTTGTAACTCAGCCATCTGCATTTGGAGAGCGACCTTCCCGGGGCTGGCATAGATGGGTCCCTTGGAATGGACTGGAGGCCAGGCCTGCCCCGCAACCTTGCCTCTAGGGCGGCTTTTGGCCTGATCTTGACTGCGCTTGGACTTGGAAGAAGTCGGAATCTGGTCCTGAGCAGGCACCGTGGCACTGGTGGCGGCCATCCAGCACAGGGGAGACGTCATGATTGGGTTGGGGACAAGGGCTCCAGGGGGCTGGGGGCGCGCCGGGGAATCGCCTCTGTCCGGGATCCGTCGGTTCGGGTTTCCGTGGCTGAAAAAGCACTTTCCTACCGTTTGGCTGGGCCTAGCAGCATCTCCCGATTGCTAGGTAACCTCCACCCCGCCTGCCTAAGCGCTCCCATGGAAACCGTCCGCGTTCGGCACCACTGCTCTCATTGGCTGGTGCTGCGGAGGGGCGGGCCCAACAGGGGGCGGAGGAGAGTCGCGCCGCCACACGGTGGGGGAGGGGTCTTTGGGGTCACGTGTTCGTCTTTTTTTTTTTCCTCCTCCCACTCCAAACCCACCGGGTGTTCGCGCGTTTTTCAGGAACTTTCTTTTGCGATTGTAGAACCCGCCACTCCCAAGATGGAGGCACCTTGCGCCGCCATTAAGCGCAAACCTTCAGAACTCTAAGGCTTCGTAGTCCTATCCAAGATGGCCGTCCCGGTTCCGGCATCTCACGTGCCACTCCCAACATGGCGTCCCCGAGCCGCCGTCCTGGCGCTCAGCGTGTCACAGGAAGTGACGCATCCACACTTCCGCTTTTTTCTGCTGGAAGAACTGTGGGCTGCCGGGCTGGGGGGGCGCGGTGAATACTGACCTTTGCCCTTGCTTCGTGTAAGTGATGAATTAGCGGGCCGGTGGGAACCCCAATTTCCTGTTGAGGTCCCTGAGGGTGTACGTCGGCCGAGGGGGAGGCTCTTCACTCCTTCGGCCTCTTGGCGGGAATTGGTTGGCTCGCTCTCCCCCCATGGGGAGCGGAGGTTTTGAGATCCCACCATTGAGACGGGCCAGGTTGGAAAGGTCTCGTCCGATATCTTTTCCCATGAGCCCCCATTGCGGAAGCGATGGAGGAATCCAATTGGCTGGAGGGAGCCCTCGGCCGCTGACCGGCAGCTCCCTCCTTGCAGCGCGTCTGCCCGCAGCCGGCTTCCTCCCCCCGGGCCCGCTTCCGGCCCCCGAGCCTCTAGCGAGATGTTGCTGCTGGTGCTGCTGCTCCCCGCGTGCTGGGCCGTGGAGGTCCGGCGGCCTCGGGGCGTCTCCCTCACCAGTGAGTCCGCCGCCGCGTGGGGGGTCGGGTTGGAGGGGCCGCTGTGCTCCTCGGGGGGCACTTACAGCCTCTGGCCTCCGTGTCCCTGCCTCTGGGTGGGGAAGGTGGCAGCGCTCAGCAATGGATGGAAGCAGAGGTGCCCTTAGGTTGGGGGGCCTCTTCCTGCGCTGGGCTGAGTCTCTTGCTCCCCCCCTCCCCCCCCAGACCATCACTTCTACGATGAGTCCAAGCCTTTCACTTGCCTGGACGGCTCGATCACCATCCCTTTTGATCAGGTCAACGATGACTACTGTGACTGCAAGGACGGCTCGGATGAGCCGGGTGAGTTTTTCCCCATCCGTCCATCCATCCATTCATCCATTGCACCGGTATTGAGCGCCTGGGCAGTGCCAGGCCCTCCCTGCTGACTGAATGGGGAAAGCAGGCACAGAAGCCAGTGGTCGTTGGTTTGGTGCTGAGAGCACAGGCACGGTGGGAGCTCAGAGAGGCCCCCACCCGATCTGAGGGCTCGGCGGGGCCTCCTGCAGGGTGCTGCACGTGGAGAGGCCAGCACCCGCAGGTGGGAGAGAAGGCGGGGCCTGTGGGCGACAGGGACAGGTGAAGGCGGGCAAGGGGGGTCTGTTCTGAGGGTCTTGGTGAAGAGAGTCAGGAGGGGGCCTGGGAGAATTTCGTCTCAGACCTTGCGTGTGCAGCTGTCTCTTCCCCTTCCTCGGCACTGGTCTACTTGTGCCCTCTGTGTGCGTGTGTGTCGGGGCTTCTGTCCGGTGGATGTGATGGGGTAAGGCCTGCGCACTCGGAAAACTCCCCTCCCTCTTCCTTCTTCCCCAAGGCACGGCTGCCTGTCCTAACGGCAGCTTCCACTGCACCAACACTGGCTACAAGCCCCTGTACATCTCCTCCAGATGGGTCAACGATGGAGTTTGTGGTAAGTGAGATCCCGCTGGGGTTGGGGAAGGAGGGGTGGGCGGAGGAGGAGGAGACACTGCTACGCCTGATGGTGCCCCCTCCTCTGCCCTAAGACTGCTGTGACGGGACGGACGAGTACAATAGTGGGATCGTCTGTGAGAACACCTGCAGGTACGGGGACCCCCCCCCCCCAGCCCCCAGGACCTTGCCTTGCCCTGCCCGGTGAATCAGGCCCCCTCTCTTTTCTGTGTTTGAGCATCGAGCGCTCAGTCTGTGCCGGGTGCCTTGTGAAGGCTCCCTCTGGCCGGGAAGCAGGTGCAGTCATGTGCATGTTCGACAGGTCGAGAAGCTCAAGTTTAGAAGGAGAATGACTTCTTCGGGGTCACGTAGCTAGGAGATAGCAGAGCTGCTTCTCGAACCCAGGACAGCCTGACTTGAGACTCCATGCTTTTAATTGCTACACTGGAGCAGGACCTGGAAGCTGAAATGGCAGGCAGGTCATCTGAATGCCAGAAGCAGGCTGAGCATAAGGCAGCGGGAGTGGTGGGGACGGTGGCATCTGAAGGGGCAGCTGCCCTCGACTCCTGTCAGTTGAGGGCAGGTGATAAGGGCCTGATTGGTTTTTCAACGAAACCGAATGTTTATGTATGTAAACGCTTCTGATTGAAGACCTTTCATGTAAGCAGAGGGTTGATCACACACAACGTGCTTACGGCCAGATTTCCCAGGAGTCTGTGATTCTGTGCTTTTCTCTCCTTTCTCTCTCGGGAGCCAACTTCCAGCCTCACGTCCCAGCATTCCCTACTCCCTTTCCTGACCCTGAGGTGGGCGAACCCTGTCCACTGTCTCCTCCCAAGGACAAGGACTTGGGGCTCCGAGGCCAAGAGCCTCTGGGAGGTGGAGGAGGAGGGTTCGCTCTCTGGTCTTTCCCAATATGGTGGCGGCAGGTGGGGTTGAGCCCAGTTGGAAGAGCAGATCTGATGGGTCCTCAGTGCCCCCTGGTGGTGCCTGTGTGTCCTCTCACGCCAGGGAGAAGGGCCGCAAGGAGAGAGAGACGCTGCAGCAGATGGCAGAGGTCACCCGCGAGGGCTTCCGCCTGAAGAAGATCCTCATCGAGGACTGGAAGAAGGCCCGGGAAGAGAAGCAGGTGAGGGGCCCCGGGGCTGACCGGAGGCCTGGGGGCATGGCGTCCGGGGCCAGTTCCTGTCTGCGCCTTCGTTTTCTCGTTTGTCCACTTGGCGTGAAGCTGTTGGTTAGGTCGTTACCAGGTCCACAGTGGTGAGCACAGGCGTGGAGCGTCAGCTGGCAGCCTGAAGGGGGC